GAGTGAGCCCAAAATACCCTTTACCTCTGACAAGAAGCCAAAACATTCTGGTGCAACAGGTGCCACCCACACAACAGCCCTAGCCTGGAGCTTGAGTTTTGAAAATCTTCTCCCCAGTCTCCATCAGATTTATTAAGAACTGGTTTAGTTTGGGGCTTTTTTGCAACCCTGCATTTAGCAATTCTGCATGAACAGTGTCCTGATTTGCAGACAGGCGAATGAAAAGCTCCTCACCAAACAAATTGGCAAACAAATCAGCAGATTCTGCATTTTGAGAAGTGAATTGAAACGTGCTTTTTTTTGCAGTTTCCAGTTTTAGAGGGAAACTCTTCCATTTCAAATGCTTAGAGATATGCATAAGTCCAGTTAACTCTGAGAGAGATGAGGCGACTTTTACTGGTTGAAATTCAGAGTGGCTTTGGGCAGAGGAAATCTTTGCACAGAATCTAGCTCCATGCAAAAAAAAAAGAAAGAAAAAAAAACAAACAAGAAAAGAAAAAGAGAATATAAATCCCTCTGCTATCAACCAGCAAATACATCCATCATGTCAGAACACATGCACATATAAAGTCCAGAGCAGCAATACACTCTCCTGTATGTCCATTCACTGTAGAACACTGTTTCCAAAATTGTTTGTGTAGAATCTCTGATGTGAGAAAAATAGAGCCCATGTAAACAAAATAAAAGGTGTATGCTCACAAATCATTCACTATTTCTCAGATAAGATGTCTTAGAACACCTAATACAAGATCCAGTTGCTAAAGACACCATAAGAGCTTCTCTAACACTCCGGAAGACTAACAACTGAAAATAAAGGACAAAACAAATGAAAAATTATCTAAGTATTTTTGATGTTTTAAGTTCTAGGGAACCAAAATTCAGTGATCAACTATTAGACAATTATTCCTTATCACTCTGAATCTCAAATGAGAGGTTTCTGCAACACAATATACAGGAAAAAATGAGACAAGTCTATTATGCCCACAAGACGATTATCTAAATCTTATTTTAACAAGTTACTTTCCACATTTCCGAGACTGAGTTGAAAATCTCTTATGCCTTCCTATCAAGCATGGAAACTGCTGTTTTGAAGCTATGCAGACCTCTGCGAGGTGACTATTATGTACTGTCAATTTGTAGTGTTTTGTGCATATATGGGATTTCAAAAGAGTTTTCAACTCAAAAGAGTTGATTACAAACCACTATCTTCTTGTATACTGTTCTGAGAAACAAAAAACCGATTTTATTTAACATTACACACAAAGACAACAGATACAGTCAGTAGCTTTCAGAGGTCTGATTATGTGTGTCTTAAATTAATAACAAACTGAGTTGTCAGATTAGTTTTAAATTTTCTTTAATCCAATATGCTGTAGAATTTTGAACTATGAAGCAAATACATTCTTGATGGATTTGAGTCTGAATGATCTAAAAGCATGTCTCCATATCAGTGATACAGTAATTAGGTGTGGAAAGCACCACATCATACTTTTGGAAACTACCCGGATTTTATTTTTCTTCCCACAAGTCTTCTCCGAGTGTTTGAATCAAACTAAGGTCATAGGAATGCTACTGTTTAATCCAGTAAATACCATGCTGCTAAAATAATACTTTCTGAATTTTTCACAAATACTCTCAGAACAGAAATTAATGCTGCCTCTGCAGAAGCGTAACGTTTTTGCATTGCACAAAGACAAAAAATGTTGGCTCCTTCTGAAACAGATGTAGGCTTGCTCAGCAGGGATGAAATGCAACCACAGTCAGAGAAACAGCACAAAACTTATTTTATGGATATAGATCACACTTTTATTCTCATGTGGTACTTTCACTTTTGGGGAATCAAAGAAAGTTCATGTTTTAAGAACAATTCCTGACCTTGCGGTAATGATGCACACACACCTACTTCAATTATGGAACATTTCATCAATCTTCTACTTATAATGTAAGGTATCTAACAAACAGAAATAACTTAAATGCTTTTTACGTAGAAAGGGAAGCATTCTTACGTCTCCTCGTTCTTTCCAAACTCATATCACCACTTGTATTTATACACTAAAATGCTTCTGCTAACTAGCAAGAGAGGTGTGTGGGGTTTTTTTCTGCTTGAAACTAAGCAGTTTATCCTCCCAGTCTTACAACAGGCCTCAGTGGGAGCTGCAGATCAGAAGTGAACACTTGGTATTGGATGGCTCAAATGAATGTATATCTTTCTGTGAGACGTAGATAAAGAAGCACATGGAGGGTATCACACAAAAACTTACAAGTTTCCAGAAGTCCATGGCTACATTTGAAGCAGTCTCCTGATTACCCTTTTTGCATCCTTAAACGCCGAATAAAAAAGCACTTTCTTGAAATCAATTCGCTCACTTTTTGAGCATGTGCTTCAGGATTTGTTTTATGTTGTATGAACAGCTACACAATTCTATTTTAAAAGCTGTGCAGTTGACATCTAATTAGAAGAAATCAATTTGCATGTAGAAATGTAGCTAGCTACAATTATTCTATGCACAAGAGCATGTAGTGACAGGACAAGGGGGAAGGGCTTCAAACTGAAAGGTTTAGATTCCATATTAGGAAAAAAAAAATTACTGTAAGGGTGGTGAGGCAATGGAACAGGTT